TGGTTCCGTCAGCATTTTCAGAGTTTTTTTTTTCAGTGGTTTCACGAATGCAAAACAAAATTGTACATGTATTGCGACCCGCTGCTCCGTGACGTCCTATGGCGTTCTTGTTTTCTGCTCTTTTTGTATTTATCAAGTCTATCTGACTTTAGAAATTGAAATCTTTTAAACAAAGTGATGCATTACATTACCCTTTAGCATCTTATATTATAAAACTTTACTTATATATAGAGACTTGAATAATAATTCAATTCAATTTGGTTACAATATGACGTTAAATGAAAAATGTACGACAAAAGTCTACGAATTTTTTGAATGGCCCTCGTACAAATATTCATTCGTTTATTTACTTTTGAAAATAGGATCGTCTGAAATTCCGGCCAGCAAGAAAATATATTTTCTAAAAAAGACAAACCTTTAAAAATATAATGCACCTTTTTAATATTCAAATATAAACAAAAACAATACATACGAGAGTTGTCCCAGAAAAACGCAAACATATTTTATATCTTTTTTTTATCTTTTCTTTCACTACGACTATTAAGTTAAAAATTGGTATATATCATGATCCAATGTTTTTAATAATCCCTAAAAAAGTTTTTAAGTAAATAAAATTGTTGACATTATCGCTTTGTTGGCTTATAACAACGAGAACCTCATTCACAATGCTATTTGTAAAAGTCAAATAAATTGCCGTGCGCCGGTCACCAATATTAAGCATCATTTAAATGCTGTTTTTTATGTGCATATGACATCAAAGCCCTATTATATGTAGCCAAAATATCAAAAAGATGATTTCCCAATAGCATTTCAAAGTATTAAGTTCTGGTTGAATAGTATTAGAAATATACAGAAAGTTCGCGCTTTTCTCGGACAACCCCCGTATATTGTGAATCTAGTGATTCTTTTTTTTTTTTTTACAATAGCTTGCTCTGTTTAGATTGAACATAAATTAAAATTGTAAATAATATTTACAATAATCATACTTTTTTAATTTTTCATTTTCTAAAATGACATGAAAAACTATACTTGAAATTATCAGTCTGAAAAGCTTAATATCTATGAAATCTTTTTTAACAATTCATTTTAAAGCATTATATGCAGGAAATGCAATAAAACAAATGAAAGTGATTAAAAGAAAAGTAAGGAAATATAAAAGATTATATTACCCTCTCCTCATGGAATAATATTCCTACTTGTACAGATTGCCGAAAGAGTCAGGATCCGTCACCATCAGGTGTTTACGCACAGCAGCAACAACAAGGAGTTGTAATCGGACAACAAACGTATGGACAACCTCAGGCTTACGGACAACAAGTATATAGCCAACCTTGGGCTCCCGGACAACCTCAGAATTACGGCCAAGGTTACGGACAACCTCAGAATTACGACCAAGGTTACGGACAACCTCAGAATTACAGCCAAGGTTACGGACAACCTCAGAATTACGACCAATCTTACGGACAACCTCAGAATTATGGCCAAGGTTACGGACAGCCTCAGATAAGTGAAAAGGAACATCAATCACCACAAGAGGCAATGGACAACAGAGTATTAGACACTAGACTGTAAAACAACATTTGTATTTATACAAATATTTCCCATTTAGGACAGGCGTTAAATAAATAATGTCATTGGAGCTCGGAAAGAAACATGAAAACGGTTTTTACGATTTAGTCTGAGTGATTTTTAAAACTAAAATATTCTCTTTGAATCAAAACACATGTCTGAAACATTTTTATAATTAATTTCTAATTGTTTTTAGAACACATTTTTGAGTATGACCCATGAAGTTCGTATACTTGAATATGGCAGATCCTATGATTTGCTGTACTTGCTTTTTTTCTTTCTGATAGGTGTTTATCAAGTTTGGGAAATGAAACAAGTCAAAAGTTGAAAGATCATACAAATTTTGTTGGGTGATAAAACAATAACTTTATGTTTATCCCCAAAACTCCTTTACGCTTCATTTCCTGTAGGTTTCGGCGCTGTCATGAAGAAATCTTTTGTAGTGAATTCCTCAGTCTGTTTCCTTCATTTCATAAACCTTTTATTGATTTGCAAAAAAAAATCTATACTCCTCCAAAAATTGAACTTCCTCCCCGAATATGAATTTGAAAAATAAGACCACTAATATTTAGAAAACTGTATAAAACAGTTAAGGATAAGTGCTCTTGCAATTTCTTGCTTTTTGGGCATTAGCAGACTTGTTACATGTAACTGCATCTTATTGTAAATTAGTTTTGAGGGTTTAAAGCAAAATGGATTCAAGTTTCATTATCTGTTTCGATTTCAGACAAACGTGGTTAAGTACATTTTTTAATTTTTTTTTAAAATACTGTTCACATATTCCTACCCTCTGTTGTTTTCACTCATTTTTCAAAATATAGGATGACCTCTGAGTGTTAAACTTTTTTACTTTTAAATATTTCTTTACAACAGTGTGAACTACCCCAAAACGATTTCTATCAATTTTGCTAAGTGTCTGAAAGTCAATAAAACAATGAGACATAATCAGTGATAATTTGCTGAATTTTTGCAAATATACACTTGTTGCCAAGGACGATTTTTGATGCCTATTACTTATATATAACCTTTGTTTTTTGAAATCCACCTGTTCACGTGTCTATGAAACAGACATTGGTTGCTGTAAATTTGCACATCTTTCAGTTAAGCTGTTTTTAGGATATTAACATTTTTTACAGCTGATTTAATGGAGCCTTTGATTTCTCTCTTCTTTACTGATTCTTGACCATTCATTTATAATGCAGTGTCTCGAATAGCCCTTGTTTTTCAGCTTCCCACAATGAAAGTATGTGATGAAAAGTGGTCACATAAACTGTTATCAATTCATTAAAGATTCAGTAATGAGAGAAAGCCAAGCTTAATGTCATATGATTTCTATGTTGTATTTCATCGAGCTAATGACATTATATATTGAACGCCCCTCGTATATTGAAAATACGCATCTTGATAATCGTGGTACATATACGAGGGTCGTTCAATAAATAATGCAACATGTCATCTAAAAGTAAGAAAAGTGTGTTATACATATTTTTAATAGTTTCAATCCCTAAAGACATTCCCTGTTACCAATTTCATGTGTCTCAAGTCTTTGACTCTATAAACAGAAATCCTCAGCATACTTATCTTTAGGGATACCCCAAAGACACTGAGAAAACTGCATTATTGTAAATAATAGCATTTATGTACTCATGTAATGATTTTTATGTACTCATGTAATGAAGTTTTGAGTTTGTACTTTTAGCTTGTTAATCAATCCGTTTTTATCCGTGTTTCAATTTTGTGTCAATATTAGAGCGATCGATAGGGGGTAATTTTACCGACCAATCAGAAGAGACACTAAATGTAGATTCTACGTCACTTCTTGTTTTGATTCGATCGCAGTAAGAAGGGTTTTCCAAGTGTTGGAGTTTTACAAACTGAAACTCTTGTTTGCGATCGATTTTTTATTTGAAAAATAGTAGTGCGATACAGAAGTATTTGTGAACAGTTGGTTATTTGTCAAATCATACGTAGATCTATATCCATCAATGCCTAGGAAGCGACTGAAGTTCCCTCTCGTAGGACGAATGCAAAGGAGATGATGAGTGTGAGCCATCTGGGACATTCGTACATGTATATTCTATAGGCATTGAGTGTTCTTGGAACTTTATGAATGCTAATTGTGATGTGTGCAAATCAATCTGGATTGTAGAATTTTCATTTTGGACATTGGGTTTAAAGGAGGTCTTATATGCATATATGACACGAAAACTAATACTTGTGCAGCATGCAGTGCGTGGGTTTGAATTACATTAGCAGAGCCCCCACCGCGTGTCTGCCTCAGAGTGCCCGATGTATTCTGTCGATAGCTCGTTATCACATTTGGGAGTCGGAATTCGGCGTGTCATCATAGAATTACTGCTGCGAAGACAACCTTGGACATAATTTTTGGAGGGACCTGTCATACCTAAAGCCGGATGGTTTGCACATTGCCTGTAATAACCATAGATCAGCTCCAATTAGAGAGTATTTGAGGAGTGCAGTATTATGCCATGCCATTGACAAGGCTAGTAATTCATAAATATTCCATGTAATTCATATTCAATGGAAGCAATAATTAACTATAATAATAAATAATTCTTCCAGTACCTATAATCCATGATGATATTGTTTTGGTGTCACAGTGTAGAACTCCAAATCAGTAATATAATTTTATGATAGATCTATATATAGTCTACAAGTCAAGTGACATTTACTTTTAATTTCATTTTTTAATTGACAAAATGTCATTATATCATGGAAAGCTTTTAATATAGGTATAAGGGAAAGTTATTTACTTATGAAATGACATGCACACTTTGTTCATGTTATGTCTTAGTATGCTCTTTATCTTCTTACTACATGTGGTATGCTCTGCATTGTAGGGGTGCAGAGATAATTTAGCTTTTTGTAATTGATGATTTCCCATTTGTTTGTGCAAATTGGTGAGTTAAGGGTATGCATTGTAAGTCACTCTGTGATGTGCATTGTTAGCCATACAAGTTGATATAAAGGTATGCATTATAAGCCTCACTATTATGTGCATTGTTAGTCATACAAATTCATAAGGTATGCATTATAAGCCACACTGTCATGTGCATTGTTAGTCATACAAGTTTATATGGTATGCATTATAAGTCACACTTAAGTGTGCATTGTTAGTCATACGAGTTTATATGGTATGCATTATAAGTCACACTATTTTGTGCATTGTTAGTCATACAAGTTTATAAGGTATGCATTATAAGTCACACTTAAACGAGTTTATATGGTATGCATTATAAGTCACACTATTGTGTGCATTGTTAGTCATACAAGTTCATAAGGTATGCATTATAAGCCACACTATTGTGTGCATTGTTAGTCATACAAGTTATAATGTATGCATTATAAGTCACACTTTAGTGTGCATTGTCAGTCATACAAAGCGATATGCATTGTGAGTCACTTGAATGTACACTATAAGTTATATAATCTTTTATTTAATGCATAATTCAAAAATATAAATTTATGCACTATTGAAAGAAAACCATTGGTATGCATTATAAGTTGCACTTTAGCGTGCATTGTTAGACATACATATGAGTGATTTTGTTTTTGTAGGGCTGATTTGGGGTCGAAATTCAGCCCCTGTCCTAATTGAAAATATATGATAATGTCTTTTTTCTCAAAATGTAGTGGAAGTTTTCCCAAAGAAAAACTTACAAAATATGTGATCAAATTCGGTTGGTTTAGGCATGTTGGATATCTTCAAATATTAGTTTATGCTTACCCCTATTAGTTCTTGATGCAAGTAATGAGATAATTTATACCAAGAAAAGTCTTATTTGGTTATAACAATTGTTTGTTGATTGAGGTAAAACAAAGACAAGAACAGAGCTTTTCGACAATGTTTTTTAAGTGATATATGCATTCGGAGTCACCTTAGTGTGCATTTTTAGTCATATCTCTTCACTTTAACATATATATGCATATTATGCATTGTTGAAACATTAACGGGTATGCATTATGAGTAACACTTCACTTAGCATTCTTAGAAATACATGCGATATATATGCATTGTAAGTCACCTTAGTATGCATTGTCAGTCATATCTCTTTACTTCAACATATATATTTGCATAATTCATGTATGCATTGTTGAAACATAACTGGGTATGCATTGTAAGCCACACTTTAGTGTGCATTATTAGTCATACATATGATATATGCATTGTGAGTCACCTTAGTGTGCATAGTCAGTCATATATTATCTTTTTACTTCAATGTATATATTATGCAAGGTATGCATTGTTGAGGCTTATCTGGGTATGCATTATAAGTCTCACTTCAGTGTGCATTGTATGTCATACAGGATATATATATGTGCATTGTATTCACTGTAATGTGTATTGTCAGTCAGACTTTTCTTTTACGTCGACGTACACATATGCCTAATATGCAATTTTCATCTTTGGCATGCATTATAGGTCACACTGGCATGTGTATTGTTAGGCATACATATATAGTGTATACAAAATGATCAAATGAGGTATGCATTGTAAGTCGCAATATATGGTGCATTGTTAGTCATACATATCAAATCAATACAGGTTGATAAAAATTTGAATCATATATCAGCAGTTCATTCAATACATATTCAAGCATTTTATTTGGCTTGTTATATTTGATACTTATTTCTGACAATTTTTTAAAACTGCTGCAACTAAGAAAGTTTATTTGAACACTTGGCAATTGCTATGTTCTGACACATTTTAGATTTTTTGCAGGAAATATGTCAAAGAGAAGCAGGTGTATGGTGTCAAAAGATACATGGCAAGGAAGGAATCCACACGAAAAAAGTCGAAAACTGGTGAAAAACATTGACTATGAAAAACTCGCTGCTGAGGTACTAAAACAACAAAATCAGTCAACAACGAGCAGCAAGGAGTCAGGATGACCATTCCTAGCAGAACTATTGAGCCAACTTCATCTCCGAGCACTCCCTAGGCAACCCCTCCTACACAGAGCACTATTCAGGCATCCCCTCCATCTACTCAAAGCACTATCCAGACAACCCCGATAGCTACTCAAAATACTGAAAGGTCATCAAGCAGGACAATAAGGGTTGGACACTGTGTCAGGAAGTCAAGATGCCTCAGTGGAGAAATTGGTGACCAGTGTATTGGAAGGTACATGTTCAGGGGAACATATCAAAAAATGGACAATCTCATTTCTTTATCTGATGGCATCCCTTAGGAGCATCAATTTCAGTCAAAAATAAAAGGGTTTGGGTAAATATGGGTGAAGAAGTTTCTGGCCTAATCATGAAAATAATTCCTTCACTTGGACAGTGACTTCAGTTACAATTATTGATCAGTAGAATTCTTAAGTATCCCTCTTTTAATGTAAACAATAGACAAATACCTTTTTAAGTTTTCATTTGTATCTACTTAGGGAAATTTCCAACTGACGCCCTTCATCAATTATAGTATCTTACACTGGTTAAGAAAATGTGTAAATTACATGGCTAGGTAATACAAAAACACGTGGAACACAGTTCTTCACTTGGTAGGATTGGTGGCCCCTTTTTTCAATCAGAAATCTTTTAATGATTTTCGGGTCATCCTCGTAACATAAGATGTTCCAAAATTAGATCCAGGAAATTTAGGATAATCTATTACCTTGGCTTATCCCAGAAATGTTTCCATAAATTCAGGTGTTCTAGGACTCTGAGGGCACTATGTTTAATTGATGAGATCATTAAATTATTTAGCAGGAGGAATATCTCACATATTACCTGGTAGATAATTTCTTTTTTATTGGTACAACCATTTCAAGAATATATTGCATTGGTATAACAATGTGTTTGTACGTGTCCAAATTAAAGATGATAAAAACACATTTCCTTCAACTACATAGTACATTTGTAAGTATGCTATCAAAATAGCTCTGTTGCTTTGGAATACTGATTGCCTGGGGCTGAATTACTTAAAGTAAACATAAATTTGAATGATACTAGGTTTATGAAGAAAGTATGCAGTCTTTTATTTGTCTGCTTAGTTTTGCATGTGCTGTATACGTAAGTAGTTCCCGGAAGGGCATTCCTAATGCGATCAATCAAGTTTAACTTGAGGGTACCAAAAACCTATTTCTTTACAATAAACTCACTTTTGACTGAAGCAAGGGCAGCTCTTGACACTTGGTAATATTTCATTGAGTATTACAATGGGAAATATATACTTCTTTCCTACCGATGATTATCTTTGCAATACCTCACACTTTTCACAGATGCCTCTGGGTCAGTAGATTTTGCTTCAGTCTTGGGGAATATTTCACCATTTCTAGAAACAAGCATCAATACCACATCATCTCTTGATAATGTAAACACCAGTGGCTTAAAGCAATTTGACTGCATCTTTATCAAATAGCACAAGAGCATCTTAATGTCAATGAAGCTGGAAGATTTTTAAGTCTGGTCAGCGGTTTCAGTTGCCTAATACCTATTTCACCTATAGTTTTATGCAATTTCATTACTCATTTATTTGCCAACAAATACTCAACTAATAGCATTTCATCCCACACATGTGTAATAGGGTTTATACACAAAATAAAAAATCTTGCAGATCCAGCATAATCTGTTCTTATTAAAAGAATTTAGGTGGTCAATTCATTGTGGTCAACCAGTGTCTCATTCATTTGTAAATAAACATCTAAATTAAGCAGTATCTGTCATTGGTCTGAATCAAAAACTATAGGAAAGGCATAGCTTTCGAATTGGTGCAGCAAAGGATAATGCAAAATTGGGATTTTCAAAAAAAAAAAATCTATTCAAAAAATGGGGAGATGGAATTCGGATGCAATTAAAAAGAATAAGATTAGAAAGCTTTCATTTGTAAGTGACAAGTCAATTACTTATAGGCATTGTGGGATTTAAATTTTTAGAAATTCGTTGAGTTGACTCTTCAGGCCAGAAGGTGTCTGCTGAAAATCATATTGTCGGCTGTAATCTATCATAAAGTGTAGTTTTTGTGAAGTTAAACCTTCAGGCCAGAAGGTGTCTGCTGAGGTCTATCATGAACTGTGGGTTTGATGAAGTCAACTTCCAGGCCAGAAGTTGTCTGCTGAAAATTATCACGAATTGTATATTGGGTAAAGTTCAACTTTAGGCCAGAAGTTGTCTGCTGATGTTTGGAGAATATCATGTATCGTACACATATGTGGTTATCCATTTGCGTTTAATAGGTGATAGCTAAGGTTTAAAGTATGGGTATTGCGATACCAAAGATTGTCTTTTTAATTGCATTTTGTAGACATGTTTTGAGCCAAACTCCTTTAACTTACATTCTAACTTACATGTTAATATCGGTCATTATCAAATATATGTAACCTTGGTGTTGCAATTGTTACCGAAAAAAAAAATAAAATGTGCCTACCTCTGAGTTGATCAAGATATTAGAGCGATCGATAGGGGGTAATTTTACCGACCAATCAGAAGAGACACTAAATGTAGATTCTACGTCACTTCTTGTTTTGATTCGATCGCAGTAAGAAGGGTTTTCCAAGTGTTGCCCACCATCCACCCCGATCATTATTCCACCTTTATGCCATACTGCTAAATTAATATGCAATGTAAAGGGTTAATGTATAAAAATGTTTAAAAATACATATATGTTTATATATTTTAATATGATTTTATTTTGGCAGTTGTTTATCTGCCAAGGCAGTTTTTGTCTGCCACCTTTTTTGCTGATTGTTATTTTTTACATTCTGGATTGTTTATTTGGATTTTCTTCATGTAATATGTTACACTGGGGAGATCAACTAATGTTTTGTACAAATTTACACATTCTTTCAAGAGTGATCTCCCCTTTATCTGATGTATCTTTTCATTATCTGTCGTCATTTATACATGTATAATAAATGACAAATTCATCCATCAAACTTTGTGTTTGCGTTACTTTAATATGGATGTGATATGGTCTACATAAATTTAGAAGTGTGTGCAAAAAACTAGCTTCAGTGAACTTGTAAAATTAGTTAAATTACACTGGAGAACATAAATATCATTTTCTATCGCATATCTGACATTGTACAATTTTCCTTTGATTGTTTTCATGTATTTTGGGGACGAAAAGATCTCACAGTGGCTACGATTAAACTAATATGGGTCATTGAAAAGTCCTGTATACTTTCTTTCTTCAAAATTTTATTTTGCACTATGAGTATATTCAACTGCGTTGTTAAGCACAGAAAAATACCATGTTCAACGAATTTTGGACTTCCTTTGCAAAAACACTGTTCAACTTTCCTTTATGCGAATTGAAGATAAAACTTACTATTGATAGTCCTTCATTTGGATGCATGTTCATGTTTTAATGGACCTCTTTAAATACATGAAAACTAATAAAACATGTTTGCAGCCATTACTTCTCTTTATCCTAATTAAATGACAACCTTTTCTTTTATTCCTAATTTTTTATCATTAATCATATTTTACGACTATAATAAGAGCACCAATGTTTCATTATACATTAAGCAAGTTTATCAATTCTGCAATTTTGTTTAAAAATGCGTTTTTAATTCAACCGTAGGCACATTTAACGAATATTCTCTCTTGGACGTTTGTGAGAAGATAGGGCACCTATCTGATTGAAATATTGTTATATGTTGTTCCGTTGTCCGAATTCTATAAAATGCTGTGACGATTTAATGTTAAGTATTTTAACAATGTCTTTCCATGTAAATATACCTTTTTCAAATTACATGTGGCACATAAAGTCGATATTTTGTGATGTCCCCCACAAATTTCAATTGACCATCATGACTGTTATATTTCAACCCTTGTTTTTTTTCCTTCTGAATTATTGAATCCATCTGAAAAGTATACAGCCTTAAAGATTATTTTTTCCACTTATAAAACTTTTCCTCTTAAATATGAGGTTGGCGGCGATTTATGTAAAAAGCGCATGTTTCAAATACGCACTTATTTTCATCTTCTTGGCGGAGATCATTTTTAAACAGTTTTCAGCTCAGTGTAGTGACCATGCTTACTTTAAAAATGAATTTCTTTGCGAAGACACTATGAAAATTCGTGGGGTTTTCTGTGTTTAGTAGATCTTAAATAGAACTTATCAAATATTGAAAAAATATAATCAAATGCCTCAACATTTATTATGATATACTGAGTATCGCATTACTTAGTGAAGTTAGAATCAAACAAACCATTAATTAATGTATTCTTTGCTTCCAATGAAACGACGTTTAACGATCAACGTTGATTTAGAATATTTTCAATTATAAGTTATTATATAAGTATTTTATCACAATTTTTTCACTCACGGTGCCAAAGCAACATAATGTACTCAACTGTGTGTAAGATCTCTGTATACGATATCCAAAATGGGCATTTATTATTTGATGCTTGTTTAGATTTATGCTTTTAGCCCA